TATAATCACAGCTGATGCTGGACAAGGAAGATGCCAGGACATTAAGAGCATCACATACCATGATAAGGAACCTAAAGTTTATTCTGAAGGCAAAAGCAAAACCAGGCAGACTTTGAATATGGGAGGCTTGGCTTTTTTAAAAAAAAAAAAAAAAGTTTTTTAAAAATTTATTTAACTTTATTTTATGTGCATTGGTACAAAGGTGTCCCACTCCCTGGAACTGGAGTTACAGTTGTGAACTGCCATGTAGAGCTGGAAATGAAATCCTGGTCCTCCAGGCATGGTGACACACACCTTTAATCCCAGCACTTGTGAGGTAGCGGCAGGCAAGGCCAGCCTGCTCTACAGAGCCAGTACCAGGACAACTAGGGCAACACAGAGAAGCCATCTTGGGGGGGGGGGAACAAAAACAAACAAACAAACCCTGGACCTCTGGAAGAGCAGCCAGAGCTATTTGCCTCTGAGCCATCTCTCCGGCCCCCAGACTTGAGTATTTTAAAAGTGCCTGGAGGTGTGATAGGTGGTCACAGTCAACTTGCAGACAGGCAGGGAGCAGTCAGGAAGCTCCTGCAGCGACTTAAACAAAAATGGGGTAAAAGTCTCTAAGTAAATGCAGGAAGATGGAGGACCTCCTCAACCCCACCAAGTATCTCTTTTGGATGAGTTGGGTTTTCATATCAGAGCCTGCAGAGAATGGGTTATGTCCCAGCAGTGAGGTGCCCCCCTTCCCCGGATCCCAGGGTCTGATGCATGCTAGGGAAACTACCACTCAACTACAGCCCCAGACCTTTGAAGTGTTACTTAGGGAGTGGCGCTGGAGAAATGGCTCAGAAGTTAAGAACAGTAGCTGCTCTCACTGAGAATTTGATTCCCAGAAACTATGTACATGGTAGCTCACAACCATCTGTACTTCAGTTCCAGGGTGTCTTAGTGAGGGTTTTCATGGCTGTGATAAAATACCATGACCAAAAGAAACTCGGTGGGTGGGCATGGAGAGGTTTAGTTTATCTTATCCTTCCAGGTAACGGACCATCACTGAGGGAAAGTCAGGACAGACACTCAAACAGAAACCTGGAGGCAAGAGCTGATGGCCATGGAGGGATGCTGTTTACTGGCTCACTCTGCAAGGCTCACTCTGCCTCCTTTCTTATCGCACCCAGGACCACAAGCTCAGGGGTGGCACTGCCTACAGTGACCTGTGCCCTTCCACATCAATCACTAATCAAGAAAATGCACCACAGGCTTGCCCACAAGCCAATTTTGGGGCATTTTCTCCATTGAGGGTCCCTCTTCCAAAATGATTTTAGCTTCTGTAAAATCGACATAAAACTAGCCAGCATGTGGGGGATCCAACACCCTCTTCTGGCCTCCACAGGCACGAGGTGCACATGCATGTGAACAGGCATACACACAAGCAAAACATCACCACACATAAAATTTTTAAAATTCAGAAATGAGCATTGCTCTTAGAGGTTACTTCAGGCAGCTCACAACTGCCTGAAACTCCAGCATCAGGGGCTCCAACACACTCTTTAGGTCTCCAAGGGTGTTTTACACATACGTGCAATCTCTCTCTCTCTCTCTCTCTCTCTCTCTCTCTCTTTCTAAATTAATTTTTATTTCTGTGCATGTGTATGTACACTCTCACACACAGGTAGCAAAAGAGGGTGTAAGAGGGCGTCCGATCTCCGGAGCCGGAGTCATAGGTGGCTGATCTTCGGAACTCGAGTCATAGGTGGTTGAGAATCACTTGTTGTATGCTGGAAACTGAACTCCAGTTGTTTGTAAGAGCAGCAAGTATACTTCATCACTGAACCATCTCTGTGGCCCCCGGATTTTTAAGTAAAGTTCAGTTTATTCCACTGTTCAGAGAATTCCATTCCAGCAAGAAAACAGAGTGCAACAGTGATTCCTAAATCAAGCGTGGGTTCTACTTGCTTCATCCAAAACCAGGAGTTTAATTAAGGGAATGGGCAGAGACCCAAACAGTAAAAAGGCAGGAGTGGGTGGTCTGGTGGAAGTTCCACCCCAGTCCCTGACACCCATATACCCAGTCTGGAGTGTTCTGGTGGAAGCTCTGCCCCAGTCCCTTTCCCTGATCTCTCTCCAAACCCTGCTGCATCTCAGAAAGCCCACCAAATGACAACCCCTCCTCCAGAGGTGCTCAAGACCACTCCCACAGGGTATTTAAACTGCCCTCCCAGAGACCAGCCAAGTGGTTTTCCCCATCTCTTTTCTGTGTGCTTTGCAAGGGGGCGGGCAGGGGCTAGAAAATTGTCTGGGAGCATTATATCCATTAAACCTGGGCTTTCTCTAATTTGGTTTGATTTGGGTTGCTGCATTAGTAAAGAGGCTTAGTGGGGTGTAGAAACTTTTCAGTGAGGATACAACTTAGCAGGTAGAGCATTGGCTTGCTATGTACAAGGCCCTGGGTTCAATTTTCAGAACTGGAAAAGTGAAAATCTATGTATGATGTCAGAATAGGACAATGTGTTCAGACTTTTCTGTTAAAGACTATAAGAGCCGGAGGCCAGGGGAATCAGAACCAGAGAAGGCCACTGTACTCAGGAGCTCCCAGCAGCTGTGATGGCCTCTTTAAGACCTGCACCAGATCAAACTGGTTACAATTCCAGCATGGCGGGATGGGGGCTCATAAGCCCCTGCCGTGTGAGCCCCCACCACTATCTGAGGAGCTACTGACAGCCAATAGCTTCTCGGGGAGTAAGAGCTAGTTTTCTTCAACAGTGTAGCCTCTAGCAGGCTGACCACGCCTCCAGGGGATGGCCACATACCAGAGAGTATTTGGGCTGTACAAGCTGGACTTGGTAGATTATTACAAAAAAAAGAGGGGGGTGATGACGACAAGAGGTTAGGAAGTGGTGAGAGGTGGGTGGATATGGGAGGAGTCACAGGAAGAGTGTATGTTTGTGGGAGGCAGTGGGGATTATGATCAAAACACAGCCTTTGCCTGAATGGGATTTCCAAACATTGCCGCGCACCGTGGCCCCGTCTGTGCTCTATGCACTAGAACTCAGTTGGCGAGCTTCCGGCAAGGGGCTGGAGGTTGAGAATACACATGCAGAGACAGACCTACACTCAGACCTTCCCACACTGGCACCAAAAAGCCCATTTTTAATAGCACCATGGAGGCTTAAATACACTGCAGTCAATGACCTATAGGTGAAAATCCCATCCTCTGATCCTCTAAGCTAGGCACAGCTTCTAGTAACTTCAATTAGAAGGCTCTAGACAGGGAAGAGCAGCTCAAGGCCAGGACTCAATTAGTCCCAACAAAACATTAATACAAACTTTACATTTAAAAATGACTTCTCGGCCGGGCGGTGGTGGCGCACGCCTTTAATCCCAGCACTCGGGAGGCAGAGGCAGGCGGATCTCTGGGAGTTCGAGACCAGCCTGGTCTACAAGAGCTAATTCCAGGACAGGCTCCAAAACCACAGAGAAACCCTGTCTCGAAAAAAAACAAAAACAAAAACAAAAAAAAAACCAAAAAAAAATGACTTCTCTGTTGCTGTAACAAGTGCCTGAAGGAAAGATTCCAAGGAGATGGGGTGGGGGCTGCTGGGAAGGCGGAACAGACTGAGCAGCTCACCTCAGGGCAGTCAGGCTGCAGGAGTAGAACCGGTGCACTTGATCCTTCCCCTTTCAGCCCATCTGGCCCCTGTGGAGATGGCGCCACCCACGCTCTTCCAGTTTAGGTCATCCTCTCTGGAAACCCTGTTTCCTGACCTAGTAGGGCTTCTCAGCCTAGTCAAGATGACAGTCAAGCTAATGCAGGTTACATTCTCTCAGTAGACGGAATAAAGGGATTGTCCAACCTTCCAATTATGCCTTTCCATGATAACAAGAGAATAAGCTAATCCCCACAGTATTGATAAGTTTTAAATATTTTTGAAAATAAAACTGTATGCCGTATGAAGATCTAGGAGTAAATAATTTATTTTAAAAGAAACTTTTCCCATAAATCTTATCAACATAAATAACATCATTATATGCATTCTCAGCTGGAGTCAGAAATTTTAAAAATTACTGTGAAAAACAAAACTGAAATTCTGGAACAATTTAAGATTCTAGGCCCTGGCTAGGGGGTGGTAGTGTACACACCTTTGATCCCAGCACTCAGAGGCAGAGGCAGGCGGATCTCCATGTAGGCAGCCTGGTGTACAGAGAGAGTTCCAGGACAACCAGGGCTACACAGAGAAACCCTGTCTCTTATAAGCAGGAATGTTGATTTACAAATGACCTAGACAGTCATTTGGAACTAATCCTTTTTCATTTCTCCACTTAATTAAAAACAGCAACACTTGAGCCAGGAGTGGTGGCACATGCCTTTAATTTCAGTACTCGGGAAGTAGAGCTGGAGTGATCTCTGAGTCTGAGGCCAGCCTGGTCTACAGAGCGAGTTCCAGGACAGCCAGGACACAGAGAAACCCTGTCTCAAAAAATAAAAGGAAAAACAAAACCAAGCAAACAACAACAAAAAACAAAAATAAAGACACAATAACAAAAACAAAAAACCAAAACAAACAAAAACACCAAGACCACTTAAGACACTGAATTAAAAATTATCCAGACGTCAAAACAATTGGTCTGGCTTAGCTAGTTAATAAAACTAAATTCCTTTTGTTTCTTCTTCTCCGTTGTTAGGCAGTGCCTTGCTCTGTAGCGGAGGCTGGTCTTGAGGCCCTGGGCTCAAGCACTGGAATAGCAATAACCACCACACCTGGCTAATTGTTTTTAGGGAGAAATGAAAAATAAAATGTAGCATATGCCTAAGGCATGAGAGTATTAGACTACACAGGTGAAATTCTTGAATCCCGTCTTCTATCCCTAACTACTGATCACTAAATCACTGGTCACTGATGAGTGCAGCTGAACTCTGATTGTTCAATCATTTCTAAGAGGCTGTGAGAACCAAGTCCTCGGGGTGGGCGGTTGCGCGAAACAGCCCTTTAGGGAGTTAGCGCGTTTTTGACAGACTCTGGCACCCGGCTTGCATAGTACTCTTAATTCCTCAGCGTGGCCAGGACTCCTGCGGAGTTCATGTGTTTCACCTCCTTGTCGTACTGGAGGGCGTTCCCGTGGATGTCCGTCAGCTTCCCTGCAGAAGAACGGCACGCGGAGTTAATGGGCAGTGTGGCCAGGCTGCTCCGGGGCTTCCTCTCTGGAGGACAGGATGGGGGAGGACTGACCCCAGGGCTCACACACGCTTCACTACTGAACTATGTCCTATCCCACTCTAGTTATTCTTTAATGACTTTGTACAATGTTTGTCCTGGGGATTAAACCTACGGTTTCATGCACACCAGGCAAGCACTCTACCACGGAGCTACATCTCCAGCTGTTTTTGTCTTTATTTTTGAGAAAAAGTCTAAGTTATCAAGGCTTGACCTTTTTTTTCCCCTCTTAACTTATTCTTCTCTCATAACTACATCCTGACCAATCTCCCCTCCCTTTTTAAAACAAGATCTCATCATAAAGCCCTGGCTGGCTTGAAACTTATTGGTAGGCTAGGCTAGCTCTGAACTTGTAGTTATCTTGGCTGTTCCACCCCAATACTTTCTTGCCTCCCTCCTGTCTTTGGAACTAGAGACGGAACCAAGGGCCTCCTGTATGCCAAATGTCAGGTCCAGCACTGAACTACAGACCTACGCTCTTTCTTTCCTCTTATTTATTTCTTTAAAATATTTATTTATTAGAGTTAGGGTTAGGAAAAAATATTTATTTTATGTGTATAGTGTTTTGCCTGCATGTGTATTGTGTACCACGTGAGTGCCTAGTGTCCTTGAAGGTCAGATGAGGGCACCATATCCGCTGGAATTGGAATTTCAGACTGTTATGAGCCACTATGTAGATGCTGGATCTGAGTCCTCTGCAAGAACAGCCATTGGCGTAAGCACTGAACCATCTCTTTAGTCATGTAATTGAATTTTTTTGGTATTAATTTCTCTTACTGTACAGTGTACTTCCCAAATGTTTTCTGTCTGTCTGTCTGTCTGTCTGTCTTAGTCAGGGATACTACTGCTATGATGAAACACCATGACCAAAAGCAACATGGGGAGGGAAGGGTTTATCTGGCTTATTTTACCTGAATCACAGTTCACTGAGGGAAGCTGAGGTGGGAACTCAAAAGCAGGCAAGAACCTCTGGAAGCAGGAGTTGATGCAGAGGCCATGGAGGGTGCTGCTTACTGGCTTGCTCATCATGGTTTGCTTGGGCTGCTTTCTTACAGTACCCACAACCACAGCCCGGGGATGGCGCCGCCCACAATGGGCTGGGCCCTCCCCACCAATTACCAATTAAGAAAATGCCCTATTGGCTTGTCTATAGCCCTATCTTATGGAGACATTTTCTCAGTTGAGGCTCCCTCCTTTCAGATGACTTTAGCTTGTGTCTTGATGACATAAAACTAGGGCTTCATACACGCCAGCCCAGTGCTCTACACAGAGGGCCTCATACACGCAGCCCGGTGCTCTACCACACAGTTATAACTCTACCCTCATCATCTATTTTCTAATTTTTAAAGACAGGGTCATGTCTTTTAAAAAAAAAATTTCTCTCTCTCTCTCTCTCTCTCTCTCTCTCTCTCTCTCTCTCTCTTTCTCTGTGATGTGGTGTGTGTCTGAGTGTGGCAGCAAAAGACAGGGCATGTCGAAGCTGGAGTTACAGGTGATTATGAACCACCAGCTGCAGGTTCTGGGAACTGAATTCTTTCCCTCTGGCAAAGCAGAGAGTTCTCTGAGTTTCTAAGCCTGGGTCACGTAATGAGTCCAAGGTGAGCAAGGGATGCACTGAGACAAACAGCAACAACAACAAAATAAGAGTCTGATTAACTGTATGAAGATGACATCCCATTCTTACTAAAGACTATAAACTAAGGACAATTCAGTCTGTTGAAAATAAAAATGCTGACATAAAAACGATGAATTTGGACGGATCATCTCTAGGCTTCCCTCCAGCACCTGCACTCCAGACATCTCAGTGAAAAATGCTAGCTGAGGGCTAGAGAGGTGGCCAGCAGTTAAAAGCATTCATGGCTGCCCTGCCAGGGGATGTGGGCTTGATTCCAAGTAACAACATGGGAGGCTTACAACTGTCTGTAACTCCAGTTCTAGGTAATCCAACACCCTCTTCTAACCTCCAAGGGCACCAGGCATGCATGTGGTACACAGACATCCATACAGACAAAACACCCATACACATAAAGTACAAAAAAAAAAAAAAGATTATTACTGAGATATAATGCCTAGGACAATATAAAAACCCAAATTCTCCAGGACAACTGGACTCACCTCCCACAGCATGAAGGATAACTTCCGGCGCACAAGTATCCCACTTCTTACAGCCAGGACTTGCGAATACATAAGCAGAGGCTTTGCCTTCGATCAGCTGGATGACCTGTAAGGTGAAAGGGATAATTACCCCACCATGAAGACTGAGCTGCCCACTAAGGACATTCATCAGTTCCTGTCACACTTAGATTAAAGCCCTAAGCAGATTAAAAGATACCAGCATCATCAAGAAATAAACCAGGCGAATAATAATAATAATAATACATGGTAAGCAAAAATTGAACCAAATACGCCACACTCCATAGTCCGAGGTAGATTAAGTTTTCTCTTTCACATGGTTTTTCTTTCTTTCTATAAAGGAAATACACAGTCACTACTGGACAAGCACTGTTTCTTAATTTCTAAGAAGCTGGCCATTGCTGAGTAATAGAGACCAGGCACCGCAATAGCCTGGTCCAGCAGGTGTGCTGCGCTAGCTAGCCTAACAGTTCTTTCAGAGACTTCAGAATCCTTCCGCCACTCCTTACCCTTGCTCCTCTCACTACTCAACTATGAACCATTATTATTGATTGGTATTATTTGATTTATTTGAGACAGAAGCTCCTGTAGCCCAGGCTGGCCTCAAACTTGATTTCTAGGCAAGGATACCCGACCTCCTGGTCCTCCTGTCCTCCATCTCCCCAGTGCTGGAACTCCAAGTATGCAGTACCACACTGGGCTGTGTTTTGTGTTTAGCTGCCTTACTGGTGTCTGTGAAGACCGGACTGAATAGAGAGACCATTTTGTAGGAGGTGTTTTTCTCAGGGACAGTACATTTCAGAGCCAATGGGACTCGTCCGCAGTACCTTGTTCCCTGCTCCCCCCACACGCAGTACGTTGTCAGGGTTCATGGCCGCAATGCAGTCTGTGACCAGCTTGTTGTTATGGGACCTGGTGGTTGTGATGATATGCTTCCCAGCGGGCACTTCTTTCAGCTGAAACCCAAAAGCACCTAAACCCAGAACTCCCCAGATGGTCCTGCCCAGCACAGCGTCAGGGCCCGCCTGTGTGGATGACAGCAGAACTCAGCGTCACAGCAGAAAGAAACAGTCAGCCTCACTTAGCTAAGTTACCAAGTTTGTTATAATGGATTCATTTTTGAGTTACAAAAGTGAAAACACACAATGCAATAAAATATAAGGACAGTAAATAGGCAAAGAATTTATCCTGATAACAATTTGATTTTCCTAATTGCTGCTTTGATCAACAATTTCAAAGAAGGGGGACACTTTTGTCCTGGGAAAGTGACCTTCCTACTCTTTGGAATCACCCACCAATCTGTTTAACTGAAAATAGCCATTTTTCAATGATATTGAAGTTCCAGGAAGTGCAACTGTATACTAATCATTGCTAGAGTGCTAATGTAATGATCATATATAGTTTCATTATTCAGGGGACAATAGGGACAATAGTGAGGATGCATTTTGCTGCCATCGAGACAGAGCAACCACACAAGCTGACGCTGCAGAAGGCTGTGGACAGCGGAGACTGGGCTGAGATGTAATGATAAATGCCTCAGTGGAACAAAGACCAGCACCATCTCAGGATCTGCACCTTCCTTTGTGGTGTTCAGAGATGTTTCAACCACACTGCTAAATACGCAGTTCATGTAGATAAACAGAGTTTAGAAAAGGAAAACTGATGCTAACACAAGAAGTCCAAACTCAACAATTTCCTATCACAGTGAGAAGAGGCACGCAATTCGTTCAACAAGGGTGTGTCAGAACCACACCAAGGTCTATGCACATGCATCAGCCCACCCAATACTCAGGGCAATACCATGTTATTATCCTTTTTTTTTTTAAAAAAAAATATTTATTTATTTATTATGTATACAATATTCTGTCTGTGTGTATGCCTACAGTCCAGAAGAGGGCACCAGACCCCATTACAGGTGGTTGTGAGCCACCATGTGGTTGCTGGGAATTGAACTCAGGACCTTTGGAAGAGGAGGCAATCCTCTTAACCTCTGAGCCATCTCTCCAGCCCCATTTTATTATCCTTAACAACAAGGTTTAGAATCAGTTGATAAACTGACCGAGGGGCCCAGGAAGTTCCTCTCAAAAGCCAGCTCCCCTGTGTTCAGAGCTCTTCTTGTTTCATTTTAGTTTTGGAGACATGGTCTCACCATGCAGCCATGGCTGACCTGGAACTGTTTATTGACCAGTTTGGCCTTGAAAATACATACATGCGTACATACATGCATGCATGCATTCATTCATTCATTCTAGACAGGGTTTCTCTGGATAGCCTCAGCTGCCCGGAACTCACTAAGCCAGGCTGTCCTGGAACTCACGCAGATCCACCAGCCTCTGCCTCCTGAGTGCTGGGATTAAAAGTACATGCCACACCGCCTGGTGAAAAGATTTATTTACATTTCTGTATGTGTACTATGTGTGCCTCAAACTAGAGTTCTAGATGGCCATGAGTAGCCATGTGGGTGTTGATAACCCAACCTGGGTTCTCTGCAAGAGCAGCAAGTGCTCTAACTGCCAAGCCTGAGAAGCTTGCTCTGATTTTGCTTTGCATTGTTGTCTTTGAGATGGGAATCTCACTGCGTTGCTGTGAATGACCTTGAAATGATGCTGCTGCCTTAGCCTTGAAAGTAGGCGGGACTACAGGTTAGTGCCACTGTGTCCATCAAAGTGGATGCTGGGTAACCTGAGCTGACTTGTCCAGTGTTTTCCAAGTCATCACTTCTTTGTCCTAGAGAAGTGTACTGGTGCTTCCAGGGTGAAATCGGCTTATGCTGTAGGCTGTGTGACCTTGGAAGCAGAGTCTGGGGTAGGCGGTGGTCGTCAAGGAGCATGTGCGGGATCAGCACCTGTAGAATGAAACACTGTGGACAGGGGCAATGGGCTGCAGTACAGCTAGGTGTCGGCTCTGCCTGCGACTATCGGGGAGCACCGGAGCTCAAGCTGCTCTTCAAGGGGCTCCAAACCTGACGGAAACGCCAGGCCTTTGCACACCTGCTCTTTCCGGTCCTGGGAGACAGACTGCTTTGAAAGGATTGTGATGGCTCTTCACAGGGGAAGCATTCCCTGAGAAGGCTGACTGTTGACTGGTTTTGCCTCCTGCCATGGAGCAACAGAGGAACCCAACCAAGTACCAGCTGCTTGGAATGTCAGTGTGCTTCCCTCTTCCCTCCTGACCACACCGCAGAACTCTCGATGGCAGCTCTAGATGCTCAGGAGGCTTTTGCCTGTATTCAACATTTAGAAAGTAGAGGCAGGAGAATTGTTTGTTCAAGACAAACCTGGGTTACATAGTGAGTTCTAGGCCAGTATGGGAAACACAACGAGATCCTATTTCAAAAAGAAAGAATCAGCCAGGCGGTGGTGGTGCACACCTTTAAACCCAGCACTTGAAGCAGGCAGATCTATGAATTCGAGAACAACCTGGTGCACAGAGGGAGTTCCAGGACAGCCGGGGGTATGCGGAGAAACTCTGTCTCGCTAAGCAAACTAACAAACAAAAAAATAAAGAGAGTTCATACTCTTTTGTGAATGACTGTGAAGACAAGAGGACAGGCCTGAGCACCTGGTGTCCTGCCCTCCCTGGGCTCTCAGCTGTCCTAGTCTTTCTTGCAAGGATTCCACAGGAAGGTTAGGGCTTATCCTTCCAGATGTGGGGTCATTCTTAATTCTGGTTAAGAAGATAACTCCAACATAAAGACAGATGGAGTCTCATGGTGTTTTCACCAATCAGTACTTACTAGAATCAAAAATAAACTTTCAGTTGTTCAGTTTTTTACCTTGCTAAGACAGCAATAGAGAATAAAAATAGGGCTCGGAACTCACTTTGAATCCCAGCTCTGCTGTTTACCCAATGGATGACATTGACACGTTCAGTGCTTCAGTTTTCTCCTTTTCCGTGTGTGTGTGTGTGTGTGTGTGTGTGTGTGTGTGTATGTGTGTGTGTGTGTGTGTGCGCGCGCCTTGCTCTTGCCAGGCAGGAGCTCTACCACTGACCTACACCCCAGCCCCCTTACTTTTTATTTCGCAACAGTCACACTTTGTTGTTGGCTGGTCCTGAGTTCATTCTGTTGCTTAGGCCTCCGCAGAAGTTGCAACACTCTCGCCCCAGCTTGAGGATCTGGGATAACAGGTCTGCACCACAGGCCACCTCGTATCCCTTTCTTTAGTATGGGCATAGCCGTTTCCTTACGGTGTGTGGTGAGTAATACAAGAGATAATGCAGGTGAATCCTGAGCACGGCAGCACAGCGGGAGCCCGCAAACCAGCACAGGGCACAGCGGGTGCCCATAACTTCAGCTCTGATGAAGACTACACACCTTCAGTCTCAAACACCGGCAGCAGCCAGCCTTTCGGCTTCTATTTGTTACAATACATTTTTGGCTATCAGGCAAAGAGGACGAAGAGGATTCAGCACAGGGAGAGGAAAGAAGAAGCGCAGAACAGGAGGAAACGGACCGTTCACAGGGCGGACAGGTGCCACAGTGCCTGCCTCTTTCCTCCCTAGCACTGGGACCAAGACCCTAGCTGATTCTCACCTTCGCTTCATTCCTCTGCTCCCTCAACTTCTCCTTTTCATTGCTCTGTGGAAAACGAATACAAGTTTTCTAGTCTCAGAAATAAGGGATGAAAATCATCAACAATTCCTAAGTACTTACAGGTCTGTTTTTGATAAAAGGGGCCATGCATACCCTTTTTCTATGTATTAAATACCCTTCCTTTAAGGAATAGGGTTAAAAGTCACAAACCCGTGCCCAAGTGTACTACAGCCCAGACAGCAAAGCCACACTGTGAAGATTAACACCCAAGCACTTCATTTGGACTCAACCAACAGTGCAGAGCCACCCTGGAAAACCCAAGAAATAAATCAAACTTCTAATCCCGTAATCAGCAGGAATAAACAAACTTACATTACGCCTAAATAAGAAGTCTGTTGTTCTCACATCAGACATTCAGAAGAGCTAGCCCCAACTCTGCTTAGTCTGTTTTCCAAAGTTCATCAAGTCCACTTTAATATGAAACTTTAAATATTGTATTTCAATAATTTCTTTAAAATCTAGCAATATATCTTGCCCTGGAATTATACTGGTCCCTTGTTTCTAAAGGAGATAGCGTCTCCGAAGTACAGCAGGAAGTCAAGAGCAGGTTGGAAGAGAGCGAGTGAGAGGAAGGGGCCACAAGCATCAGTGGCTGGCTACCTGGGCCGACAGGGAGGCAGGTGCTGTGCAGCATCACCTGGGAAGCCACATGGCTAGCATCTGTTCTTTGTTGACAAGGTTCACTTCTTCACTGTGCTTCAAGAACCACCTGTAAGCCAGGTGTCTTGATGGCCACACTAATCAAGAACCAAACCATTGCAATTGAATCACAATATATAAAGAGAATAGCGCCCTCAGTCTGCTTACCACATTACATTCCTGGCCCCAGTACCCTCAGAAAGCTCTAGTTCAACAGGTGAACCGCAGCCTGGGAAGCTGTACCTCGAGAAGTCCCGCCCCCAAGTGGCTCCATGTGCAAATGAGCGATGAGTGAGATGACAGCTGATGGCATCTGGACTCATCTGACACTCTCATCACGTATCAAATACTTTTGTGTCATTGGTGGCAGTACCTGGTAGTTGTAATACGGCTGGTTGATGATGCCTGCAATGGCCTTTCCTTCGTAAGCAATCCCAATAAGAACCGTTACATTGTCAAGAAGACCTGGGAAGGAAAGAATTAAGTATGTCATTCTCTCACATTATGGGTTACCACCAGTACATCAAACAAACAGCTGCTATTCTCATCATCATCATCATCATTATTGTTATTATTAATTTTTGTTTTCTTCCAGACAGGGTTTCTCTGGAACTCCTTCTTTAGACCAGGCTGGTCTTGAACTTCTGCCTCCTGAACGTTAGGCTTAGAGGTGTGCACCACCTCACTGCTAGTTACTTTTGCAGCAAAGGTAGGGAATGGGCAACGTTCACCCATGGACAACCCTACTTGAGGCAAATGCACAAGCTCTACGAGAGCTGGACAGAGACAACAATGGGTATTACAGTCGCTAAAATGAGTGGACAGTCACGACCACACTCTCCCTAGCAGTCTGCAAACCTGCTAAAGCCGGGGTGGCAAAGTCATCGAAAGAGTCCTTGTGCTCCCACCAGTTCCTTAATTCCTCTCCAGACTAACTTTTAGGCTCTGGTAGGCCTCAGTCTAGGGGTCACCACATGGTGCCGGATCACCTAAGGCATCAAAGTCTAGGGGTCACCACGTGGCACTGGATCACCTAAGGCACTGAAGTCTAGGGACACCATGTGGCACTGGATCACCTAGGGCACCGAAGTCTAGGGGTCACCATGTGGCACTGGATCACCTAGGGCACTGAAGTCTAGGGGTCACCACGCGGCACTGGATCACCTAGGGCACTGAAGTCTAGGGGTCACCACGTGGCACTGGATCACCTAGTGGATATAACTGCAAGACCCCCCTTCCCTGAGCCAGTAGTTAATCAAAGCTCTAGGATGAATTTCCTGTTTATTAATGGGCTTCAGAGAAGTTTTCAGCACACATGTGTACACATGCACAGTACACACACACACATATATGCATCTCCCCCCCCCACAGTACTTATGTGCCTCTCTCTCACACATACTCTTCCTAGAGTACAAATGCATGCACCATACTCAGACACACTCACACACAAATACATCTGGGTGCCACATACACACATTCATGTGCACACATGCGCACATGCTCTCACGCCCTCACACAGACACAATCACACAGTACATCACACACACACTCACATGCTGACACAGTCATACACATACTCAGTCACATAATCACACCACCACACAAACCCTCACACAGTCTTATGCATGTACCACACACTCACACAGTACACATGCATGCCACACAATCCTCATAGCACCTATGCACATTCCACACACACACACTGAATGCACTCAGTAACTATCATTTGATCTCATCGTGGGCCACCAACAGTTTCTCTGGCAGTTATAAGAAATCTCCATGGGAGCTGGAGAGATGGCTCAGTGGTTAAGAGCATTGCCTGCTCTTCCAAAGGTCCTGAGTTCAATTCCCAGTAACCACATGGTGGCTCACAACCATCTGTAAAGAGGTCTGGCGCTCTCTTCTGGCCTTCAGGCATACACACAGACAGAATATTGTATACATAATAAATAAATAAATAAATATTTAAAAAAAAAAAAAAGAAATCTCCATGAAGCTGGGGAACCAATAGAAGAAAACCTATGGTGGTCTTTCCAGGGTGTTATTGTTGTTTTAAGCTCAGGCTGGCCCGGCACTCACCACGAAGGCCAGGCTGACCTCACACTCTTCCTGCCTCGGTCTCACACATTCTCTGTGTAGATCTTCATGTCAGAAGCACAACTCCAGGCTTTCAAACCCTAACTCTGGCTCTGGGGTTCTTTTGACTCTTCTGCTTTGCTCTGTCTAGACAAGGTCTGACTCTGGTCCAGGCTGACCCAGGACTCGCTATGTACCTCCCCCACGCTGGCCTCAGACTCAAAGCAATCCTCCTGCCTTCGTGTGCTAAGATTACATGTGTGAACTATCACACAGCTCCTCCTGCCTTTAAGGCCTCTGCTTTTACTTCAATGTTTTCTGTTTTTCTCACTTCTGGTAACCTCAGATGAGGGGAGAGTGGGTGGGGCGGTTGCTATGGGACTGAGATGAGGGGAGGGCGAGGGGGATGCTGTGAGACCAGGTGTGGCAGAGCCAGGGCAGCACAGTTGGGCTCAGCATTTTTCTAGCCCATCCCTGGGGTAAGAAAGTCTACAGTGATGGTGTCTCCCCTGTGGGGACCTCGAAGCTGGAGCTGGTATTGTATGGGGCAGTATCTGAAGATGAACTCTGCTAGGAGGCACTCATGCATGACGAAGGAAGAACACGGCAGCTCTTCATCCGGTATGAGAACAGGACGCTCAGGAGGAGCTGTGCCTCAGCTACACGTGAGGCCGAGAGCTACTGACCTTCAGTGTATTCCTTGGTGCCATCTAAGGGATCGACCCAAACCACAAGCTGCAAAATAAAAACGGTTTTAATATGTTGGAACACATGATTATAGGTGGCTTAAATCAATATCATCAGTCTTGTGATCATAAAACAAACAAACAAACAAACAAACAAAAAAAACCCAACAGAACAACCCTGAAGTTTCCTAATCGTGGAGTACGGCCATTTAGAGTGAGCAGAAGCCTGGCTGAAGAACCCACCATGTTCTTCAATACAGTCAGTTGATAAATGCTGGCTGTCCCTGAACACTATATAGCTCTAGGTGGCGCTACAGGGGAAAATTTTCACAAGGCACTGAGACTATTTTCAACAGTCTAAGGTGTTACTTATTTTATATGTACGTGCAGATTTTTTTTTTCTCCAGTGTTTTGAGACAGGGCCTCTTTACATAGCCTTGGCTATCCTGGGACTCAGTACATAGACTAGGATGACCCTGAACTCACAGATCCACCTCCCTTTGCTTCTCAAAGGCTGGGATTAAAGGCACGTGTCACCATGCCAGGCTTGTACATGCTGATTTAAAGGTAAATAACCGTGTCTCAAACAAAACAAAACAAAAAATAAGGACACGTCACAATAACCCAAGAAAATGGAATGGCTCATAAAATGGGCTCTAGACTACATGAAAAAATCCCTCCTGCTTAGGACTTTACAGGCTCGGAATATCCTCACATGTGCACGCAGTAAGCTGGGTCTGAATCTCTGAGGCTCCTGATGCCACGTCTCATTATCTTTTTATCCCTCTTCCCACAGAATGGAACTTCTTCCTCACAGTAATTACTCCATAAGTGCAATGTTAATAATTTAAAACTAGGATCCCCTGGAGCTGGAGTTACAGGCAGCGGTTGGCCGCCCAGTGTGTTTGCTGGGAACTGCACCTGGACCCTCACCAAGAGCTGACATTGCTCTTAACTGCCAACCCATCTCTCCAGGCCAAGTGAGATGGTTTTCTAGAATGGCTAGACCCCTTGCCCACACAATGCTTTGTTACCAAATCTACTGAACAGCAAAGAGGACTTTCTTACTGAAAATGCTTTTCATAATGGTCTCGGAAGGCAGAGAGAGGAGACCGACAGGGGAGGGCTGTGAGTGGGGTCGGCCATGCGTCCGTGCGGTCCCACTCCTTTGTAACCACACACTTCCCTCTTACAGACAAACTGCAACCCCTTCACCATGGCAGCAGACGCAGACTGGCACGGTACAAAGATGGACCTTACGTCTTCCTCTTTGATAACACTGTACTGCGGCGGACACGGCTGCTTCAGGATTTCCTCCCACTGCCCGTCTTCAATCAGCTCTGGATCCACTTCTCCGGGAGGCAGATCCTGCAGCAGAGACAAGGTGACGCTCCTGAAACTGTTTGTTCACCATAGCTAGGGTGCGTCTTTTTTTTTTTTTAAGTTGGAAGGGAGATAACCTACATGGCTAGAAGCTGCTTCCCCTTGAAACTATGGTTTATTAAAAACCCCAATGCTATGTGTGGGGCCACTACTTAAAAGCTGGCCAGGGAGGCCCTAGTGGTACCTTAAACAATACAGGCACCCGTCTTTTGTCTTGGTTGTCCACTAGAATTAGATGATGAGACCTTACTGCTGAGGTCACCACACACTTTGGTTGCATGATATAGAGAAACCAAGCTAGAAATGACTTGGAGACCTTTTCCCTGCTCACCAGCTCTCATAATGCAGGCTGCTGGGAACCCCACAGACTACAGTACTGATCTGTCAAGCAAGATGCGCTACTTGTGCAGCAGTGGCACAGCTGCTATAGGAGATAACTACTGCTCTGGACAGAATCTGAGGTCGGCTCCACCGGGGCGGGGATCCATGCTTAGAGCTGTAAACCTACTCAGTGTCCGGAAACACACTCAATGAATAAGAGGGGAGGTCATAAGCCCTACTGGGGAATTAAACTCTACGGCTTTACCAAATTCGCATAGTGTCAAACCATCTTATAAATTATATGTTTATTCCCATGGCCAATTCCTATTCTTAGCTTTAACCCGAAGTTTCTTTTTTCTAGTGGTCTCTGATAAGTGGCCATTGACTGCTCGGCTCTAAACAAGACATTTTTATACCATCCCTCTGAGGTTCATGAAGCTCTGTGGGAGATGGGGCAGAAAGATTGCAGGAGCTGGACAATATGGAAAAGGGCTGCAAATACACAGTCAGTGCAACCGTGGACTCTCAACAATTACAGAAGACTGCACTGGGTCTGAAGAATGGGCCCATCAACCGTCAAGCAGAGATGGAAGAGACACGCAGGGGGCCCTCTCCTTCACAGCTGAACTATTTCCAGCAGACAGATTCAGGGGCTGGGGAAGCCATTGCCTTCAGTTGTAGACTGTACAAATTAAACAGTCACACAGAGAGCACTGGTCAAACTAAATGGGACACAAAACCAAATCACATCATGTATCTGGGAAAGGGAAAGGTGAGGGGGTTGGGAGGGGTGAGAGGGAAATTCAAGAGTCTGAGGAGTAACCGGGATGCATCATACACATGAACTAAATTGTCAATGAACTTAATAAAAATAAAAACAAAAACATATTCTGTCCTTTCCGTTACACTTATGCAAGTCTGACTTCTGAAGTGAAAGACAAGCAAACAACAAACCTAAACCCATTCTATCTCAAAGTTCCAGAACTTTGCCAAGTCCTAAAATTTAACTCTTGATGCTGGGGCTCACATCCAGGGCTTCACACATGGGAGCCACATGGTCTTCTTACTGAGACGTCCTCCCACCTTAGAGTCTCACCTACAGTAGGCAGTGCTCTACTGCCGAGCCTAACTTGTGGTTCCATAGCTGCATAGTCATTACAATGGTGACCACATCTCCCATCACTAAGAATGGAAACAGCCTAGAAGTGGACCAAAATCATGTAAAATCAGATTATCTCCTCTGAGGAATATGATATCCTTTGTGTTCAAACACCAGTTCCAATGCGATCACTGTGACCATGACGTGATTCAATGGCACGACAGTTATGAATCTGCGTGGTATAGTAACTCTTACCTCCTCCCCTATAATTGTCAGCTTAGGGAACTTCCGTGCCAGGGAAGAGCATATGCTCATCTGGACCAAGCGGTCGGCTTTGGTCTGCAGGTCTGTGGCTGAGGTCTGTAATAAAGAACGAACATCTCAAGAGAAATACAATTAGGGATAAGTGGTCTTCTAAAGCCCAAGTGCACAGTAGCCATATAATTTACACTATATGTTCAGATTTTAGATTCACGGAGCTTAACCACAAATGAATCAGCTAGTTGTATGTGCTACTGCTTCTCAGAGTTAACAGCAATTAAGACTGGGAAGGGAAGCTGGGTGGTATTGCATGACTGTAATCTCAGCATTTGGGAGGCTGAGTCAGGAGGACTGGCATAAATTTGAGATCAGCTTTCACTACAGCGTGCAATAAACACTAGATAAACAAAAGTAGTTTAGAAACACAGAGTGTATAAATAAGTATTGGTGGAGACAAACCCCAGACCTTGCATGTGCTGGGCAAACACTCCACTACTGAGCTACATTCTCAGCTCCAGAATGGTTCAAGTTTGTAAAGGTGCTTTTAAATTATTTGGAATATTTTCTCCTCTAGTTGAGAAATTCTTTTCTAAGATTGTAGTTACCAATCTTTTAAACCTTCTTTATAGGCTAAGAAAGACAAGAAACTACCAGTGTGCTGCTACATATTTTTATAATCTCATACTTGAAGAGCAGAAGCAGAAGGTTTGCCAGAAGTCCCAGGCCAGCCTGGTCTACGTAGTGAGTTCCAGGCCAGCCCCTGTAAGTCCTGTGCCGGCCTGGTCTACATAGTGAGTTAGAGCCAGCCATGACAGTACAACAAGTCTCACATAGCTCAGATTGGCCTTGAACTTACTATATAGCTGAGGCTAGCCTTGAACTTCTGAACCACTTGCCTTCATCTCCCAAGTGCTGGGACAATGCCTTCTATACCACATGAGGCTTTTATAGCTTTGAATAAGAAAAACTTATTTAAACATCAGATTTTATCAAACCATTTGCACGGTTTTGTATGGAATAGCTCAGGGCCTGTTCTGGAGGTGGACTTCCGGCAGAAGACCCAGTCATATATACAAAGCTCTTGGATGTGGGAGTCATTTTCAAAGCAGATACTGAAACTGAGATCTCGAGAGCTCCACCATTTTCATTGTTAGTTGGTCCAGATTATGACACTCTTTACCTACTATGAAGAACAAAAACCCATGACTGCAGGAACAGACGAGGTCTGCAGTACCTTCTGCACGATGCCCAGGTCTCCTTCGGCATTGACACACCTGACTATGCTTCCTGCCTTCTGAGCGATAGAATACGCTGAGGCTACGAGTCGCATCAACACAGTGTGGCTGGAAGCCATGATGAGCCTGGAAGGAAAGGACAAAAAGGTTCTATTACTTTAGCGACCAGCTACTAGTTTCAATTAATTGAATTCAAGACAACGCATATTTACTGAATGCCTTGGGTCACCTCAATTAACTGTGTAGGGTCTTATTTTATTTGAGACAGTTGCTCTGTGTAGCCCTGGCTGCCCTGGAACTCACTCAGTAAACCAGGCTGGCCTTGAACTCACGGAGATCCGCAAAAGTGTGTGCCACCACACCAGGTCACTGCGTAGGATTGTTAATAAATACACACTAATCTCAGTGTTAACTCTCTCAGTACACTCTGTAACAAAGTCTGGTAAAATGAAATCAGCAGGAGAAAACATTTTGAGTGTGAGGTGTGTAAAATGCAAAGCGGAAGGCTTAGGAGCTAAAACTGTAACATGTAACATCCACCCTTGCTCATCTGCTATTTTGAGCACTAGAGTTGATAAGTGCAAGAGAGTCGGGGCGAGCAGCATAAGGGACCTGGATGCTCACACAGCGTCAACTGCAAAAGGAGGAGCTGAGCTGCAGCTCAGTAGCAGAGCAATTGCTTTGCAATTCGGCATACTTAAAGTTCTGTGTGCAAATTCCAGCACTGTTTAAAAAACAAACAAAAACTGCTGTAATCACAACTATGTAGCCCTGACAGGCCTAGAACTCCCTGTGCAGAGCAGGTGGCTTTAAACTCACAGAGATTCACCTGCTTCTGTCTCCTGAGTGCTGGGCCTCCCTACTCATTCTGTTTATGTAAAAGAGTCTCACAGAGTAGCCCAGGCTTGCCTCAAAGTACTATTTCCTCCTGCCTCTGCACCCGTGTGACAAGTAAATGCCACCACGCCTGCCTTCGATAGCAAGATGTAAAAAGGTCACTCTGAAGGGCCATGCCACTGGGGCCAACTGAGGCGTTAGCTGCTATCCCAGCCTGGTTATCTTCCCTCCCGTTTTCTTCCCTTTCCTTCTACAAGTAATTTCAACAACATTCCCTGGAAAGCCTATTGTACTGCATCTCTGTCTCCAAGTGCTTATGGCAGAGACTCTCGGGTCACAGATGCAGCCAGCAATAGAACACCTGCAAAGCCCTGGGTTCAATCCCCACTACAGCAACACACACACACACACACACACACACACACACACACACACACACACACACACGAAACACACTTGGTGGCCTAGACCTGCATGAAATCCAAGCACTCAGAAAGCTGAGCCAGGAAAATCTGAAAACAGAGCTCAGCCTAGGCTATATAGCAAGTTCTAGGTTAACCTGGCTAAATAAAGACAAATTGCTTCAACAACAACAAAAACCTTTAAAACTTAAAACAAACAAAAGCTTTCCCAACTCAAAATCCAATCAGGCTGACATTGCTTTTCTTACTTAGGTCAAGTAATCCTTATCCACGGGGACCATAAATAAAGGACAAATAAACCTGTTTGTTCCATTGCCAGTTTCTGATTGAATAGCTGACTTAACATACCTTTAAATTCACTTGCATCCTTTTCTGTTGCCTCTGATATAATCACAAGAATAAAGAACAGAAAGGGGCAAGCCGGGCGGTGGTGGCGCACGCCTTTAATCCCAGCTCTCGGGAGGCGAGGCAAAGGCAAGTGGATCTGTGTGAGTTTGAGGCCAGCCTGGTCTACAAGAGCTAGTTCCAGGATGGGCTCCAAAGCTACAGAGAAACTCTGTCTCAAAAAAAAAAAAAAAAAAAAAAACAAACCAAAACAAACCAGAAATGGGCAATAAACTAAACAAACACATGAGGACTGGAGAGATGGTTCAGTGTTTAAGAGCACTGGCTGTTCTTCCAGGGGTCCTAAGTTCAATTCCCAGCAACCACATGGTTGCAATGAGATCTGGCACCCTCTTCTGGCCTGCAGGCATACATGCAGAATGAAGATAGAACAGTGTATGCATAATGAATAAATCAATCTTTTCTTTTTTTCCTTTCTTTCTTTTTTTCTTCTTTTTTTTTCTTCAAGACAGGGTTTCTCTGTAGCTTTGAGGACTGCTTTGGAACTAGTTCTCACAGACCAGGCTGACCTTAAAAAATAAATAAATCTTAAAAAAAAAGGTGAAAGTTCTTAAAAGATGCAACTGAGGAGCCGGAGAGATGGCTAAGTGAATAAGAGCACTGGCTGCTCTGGCAGGACCTGGGTGCAGCTCCTGGCGCCCACAAGGCAGCTCTCGACTGTAACTCCAGTTCCAGGCCAGTTCTTCTTTTGACACCTGAAGGTACAGGCATGCATGTGATTGACAGGCTTACATCAAGCAAAACATTCATACACATAATCCCAGCACTCGGGAGCAGAGGCAGCTGATCTCTCAGAGTTTGAGGCCAGCCTGGGCTACAGTGTGAGCTCCAGGGCAGCCGAGGCTGCACAGAAGGGAGAGAGAAAAGGTGTAATTGAAACTGATGTGCAGCACTGAAAACCCTCTGTGGCCAGTACCTGTCAGGTGTGAAGATGAAGATAAAATAAATATCTATGTCGTATTTTCTTAAGTTGTAATCAAGCTATGTTGATTTCTTGACATGCTAGGTTTTGCGGGGGGGAATAAAGTAAGCTATGAGCATTACCAACTCAGGAACACCACAAATGTAATAATTAGGAAAACATTTCCTTGAACAGCCATGGAGCTAATGTACTTTCAACTGGAAAGGTAGATCCAGGCTGCTAACCTTACCCAGCACGTCTTCTTGGTAAGGGGATGCTGGGAAATCACACGTGAGGCCTCACTAGGTGAGGTCTTTCTCACTGAGCTAGACTCCACTCCCTACATGCCTAAATGCTGACCAGAGTTTAACTTGTGGGAGTGGTGACAGAGGTAATTTTCCTTCACCAGAACTTTTCATAGAGATCATTTACCCTTAATCCAATTCAGTAATCATTTGAGCCTCATTAGACTTCGGGCATGATTAATCCACTTCCTCTTAAGCTTGCCACCTAAATGCAGGCTTTTCCTCTCTCACCAGAAAATTTCCAGGCTACCTGCTCACTACCTTACTTTATAATTCACCCTATGTGTACGAACCACAATTGAGAGAGAACATTACCTTGTAAGACATAAGAATAGAAAGATTACTAACCCTGAGGGCCCTGACAGTTTTCTTACCATAGTTTTTAAAGAAATATATACAATTTTGATTCTTGGTATAAATAAAAAGAAAAAAACTATCAAAACACAAAATGTGTGAAAGAGAGTCCTACTAGCCTTTTCACTTCTTCCCCAGATGGGAGTTACCCTTTGAAGTGACAGGTGACTTAAGAACAAGGCTAACACCAGCCACTAAGTTACCTTCCTTACAGCAGCTCAAAAACCTTTCAAAATCTTAGCTAAAACAAACAAACAAACAAAAACAAAAGACCCACCACAACAAAAAAAAAAAACAAAAAACACTGTAGTGACTACAAGCACAGACTCGGGGGTCAGCTGCCCAGGTCCCCATCCTGGCATCCATTAGCTTTAGGAAAGTCACCCAGACTCTCCATCCTTGAACTTATAAGTGGGAAAAACTGCACCTATTAGTATAAGTTGCTGCAATTATGAAATAAATACTACATGGAAGGCATTGGCCCTACAGATAAGCATCAAGCAACGCTGGCTAAACATATTTAAGTGGTTTCCTTTGTTCTGGCTACAACAGAGATTCATGGGAGTGTTAAAAACAAAAGGTGAGGGGCTGGAGAGACAGCTCAATGGGTAACAGCACACACTGCTCCTGTAGAGGACCAGAGGTCAGATCCCAGAACCCACATTGAGCAGCTGACAAACACTTGTAACTCCAGCACCAGGGGACCAGGCGTCCTCTTCTGGCCTCCATGGGCACCTGCACTCATGCATACATACCCACGTACACACACAGCACATGTATATAATCTAAAATAAAATTTAAACATCTCCCTTGGGCTCATGTGTCTGAATGAATACTTTTCACCAAGTGCCGGTGTTGCTTTAGGACACCGTGGGCAGAGCCTTTAGGAGGCTAACCCTAGAGGAAGTGGATGGCTGGATGCTGGGCCTTCAGATTTTATCAGGCCGGTCCATCACTTCTCTGCTTTCTGTGCAGGTTCTCTGCTTCCAGATCCACCAACATGTCCGAAGCCACATGCAAACTTCCACTGCCAAGAATGGCGTGCAGCCATGTCTTTCCACCATGATGGACTGTGTGCCCCTGAAACCATCAGCCAAAATAAACGTCTTCTTCCTGAGTTGCTTCTCACTCACTGGTGAGGGAAGCAATTAAGACAAGAGATATTCCGATCTAGGGAGGCAGGGTGGTGCCTAGCGGGAAAGAAGCTCTCCTGCACCATTAGGGAGGCGGGGTGGCGCCTGGCGGGACAGAAGCTCTCCTGCATTACATCCGCGGCTTGAGGCTTGAGTAAATATGACAAGCACTGAATAAAAAGGCAATCAACCTAACACCCATGCACGTAAGAAATCTCTACAATGCCTCCCAGCCGTTTTTAAGGATGGAAAACACAAGCCAGGCATGGAGTGCGCCTATAATCTCACCACTCAGAAGGCTGGTGTTCCTGTTCCTAAGAGAACTGCTAAAAGTTGAGACTAGCCTGGACTAGAGACCAAGTGCCAGATCAGCCAGGTCTACACAGTAAGACTGTCTCCAAACAAACAAAAAACAACAACAAAAAGGAAAATAGCAAGGCTCAAATGACCAGTTTGTTCTCATAGCCTTAACATTTAAGGGCTAAAAACAAAACAAAACAAACAAAAACAACAAGAAAAAATAAAAACAAATAAAATAGCCCACCTGTATCCTTTTTGTCCTTTCTCTTTAAATTCTTACAAGGATGATGAACATGCAGATTAGGATTTTAAAATGTCTGATATAGTCCCAGTGAAGCATTAAAATCATTTATCTTTGGGGCCCGTTTAAAGAGTGCTTAAGTTCAAGGTTTCAGGAAAGATAAAACTGAGTACGATGGAGCAGATTCTGAACAATTAATATTGATCCCCTTGTTACCAGTTATCAGAATAGAATAATCAGCTGGGTGTGGTGACCCTGCTTCTAGTCTTTGCACTTAGGAAGCTGAGTCAGGAGAGCTGGTAATAACACACCAGCATTAGTTACACAGTAGGTTCCAGGCCAGCTTTGGCTACTTCGTGGGGTACTTTGTCCCAATACCCATGCATGCACATGCATACTCTAAACAAAATGAATGTTTGGATAAAGTGTGTGTGTGTGTGTGTGTGTGTGTGTGTAAACATAGAAATGCATGTATTACACACACACACACCACAGCTGGCATTAGAACCCTGGCCTCTTGCCTGGTAGGCAAGCACTCTACCAACTGAACAATATCTCTCAGTAAAATTTCAGAAACGAATCCAAACATACTGCTAAGAGTGGTATTTTAAATCCAGGAAAGCAGCCGACACAAGCCTAGCGCTTAGGAAGGGGAGGCAGGAAGGTTGTGGATTTGAGGCGAGCCTGGGTTACACCATAAGATCCTGTCTCAAATAGCCGGGCGGTGGTGGCGCATGCCTTTAATCCCAGCACTCGGGAGGCAGAGGCAGGCGGATCTCTGTGAGTTCGAGACCAGCCTGGTCTTACAAGAGCTAGTTCCAGGACAGGCTCCAAAACCACAGAGAAACCCTGTCTCGAAAAACCAAAAAAAAAAAAAAAAAAAAAAAAAAAAAGCGATACTCCAGTGAAAATGAGGCAAATACAGTTAACAAACAATTCCCAGAAAAAGAAAAGCGCTGGTCACCAAATACATAAATGTAATACTATTGAACACACAAACGAAATGCAAACTTAGAGAAGTAAGATCGACACATGCAAGCGTTTGCCCGGTCTGCAAGGATTGAGAGAACATGTTCCTACAGGAACCCTTTAGCAAACATCTTTCGAAGTAGGAATTATGTTCCTGGGGAAACAAATCACAACGGCCTACTAGTGTGTAAACATGACAACCAAAAGAATATCGGCTCTTGTGAAGCTTCCAGATCAGGATGCAGTAAGAAGCGACAGTCAAGTTTAACCTTGCGGTTTACTCAGTGTTAAGCAGCGTCCTTCCAGAAGTCCAAGCCCAGGTAAACAACCACATGTGGCCACTCAAGCTCCTAGAAGCGGCTGGACTGCAGGCAGTTCCCACGGGGCGCTTTGCATCACAACCCCTGGCTCTCCTCTCCTCCGTGCCAGAGGAGGACCAAGCAATTACAGCCTCGAAGGCCCTGCCCTGCCGCGGGGGAAACTTACACTCAGCCGCCCCGCGTCCCAAAACTGCTGTTCCGCTGAGTCGCTCCCTGCCCGGTCCCGCTTCCTCCAAGTCCACCGGTCCAATGTGCACAAGGAGACACGGCTTCCGCGGCTGCGCTAGCGAGAACTCGGCGCAGGCGCACAGCAGTCTCCCCGTGGGCTCCGGACCGACGGGGAAGAACCTGCTTTGCACAGGTTTACGCCACCTGTCGTCAAAGCCCGAGTCCCCGGGACGTTCCCGGGTGCTGGCTCCTGGCGTCTTAGCTTCACCTCAGCAACAGTTTTTACTTGTTTTGTTTCTTTTTGTTGTTGTTTTTTCTCAGAAGTTTGGAACCTTGGTCACTTGAGGGGAATCTCAGCCAAGGGCAAGTAGCTATGCCCTGTTCTGCCCAGACAGCACGGCCAGAGTTTCCCTAGGGGCTGGCTGCCTTCCTAGCTCCTGGTTCAGAAAGAACACAGGCTCCGGGATGCAATCCTGGGATCCCTGTGGCACCTTGGCCAGGGTGACGTGTGGCTGTAGGCCCCCGGCGGGGTGTGCACCACTCTCAGCCCTGCTTGTCTGCTTGTTTTGTTTCTTGACGTGGGGTTTAGGTAGCCCAGGTTAACCTTGAGCCACACTTCTTCCTTAGCTGCAATTGCACAGGTGCCACCACCACGCCTGGCTTGTCTGTTGTTGGTTTTTTGTTTTCTCTTCCTTCCTTCCTTCCTTCCTTCCTTCCTTCCTTCCTTCCTTCCTTTTTTTTTTT